TTTTTACTATAAGATTTACCTCAGAATTTTTCACATTTTTGCTGCTGGATTATGGTAGTTTTAGTGCAGAATATATCAATATCAGATTAACAAAAGTTCCCGACAATGAAAGTATGTTGACGGTTGTTACAATTGAGCTGACTTTTACAACATACAATAGGGTGGTGGAGGCCTGGTGATTGGTTCCAAAATGGGTCTTGAGGGAATATGGCTCACTATGATTAGTTGTGCTGTTTACTATGTACAAAACTGTCCACTCACTGCTGCTAGTCACAAGGGACCTGCTGAACACAACTAAAGCAATCAGACATTGTGGTATTTTCATTGTGGCCATTTGTGCAGTCTAAACTACTGTCCTTTAGTATCGGACTGGTCCCTCTGGGACAGTGAAACTATTATGGTAAATGTCTTTTGTAGACTTCCGTGTGTACGGACAATAATTTCTAATATCCATGAGGAAGTAGAATTCTTGTCTCTCTGACAGATCCCAGAGCTTATAATTTCATTAAAAGTATTCACTTCTATCCACTCTCCTTAAATCCCAGCTCCAGCAGACACACCATGCTCATCCCATTTTCTGCTCTAGGCTGAAATTACAGAACATGGAGATTATAAACTTTTATTCCCCGGCTATATGTTACCGGTACTCCAGTATAATTACAGCATCAGCCCTTTGTATACGGAATATATATCATAACCAGTGTAACTGGTACACAATTAGCCGGTCATGAAAAGAATAATGGGCACAGTGTGTCAGCCATCTGAACAGTAACAACGATCTGAGACAGTGTTATTTCTGGCCTGACATTGATGTCATTCTGACATAGTACAGACATGTCCATCTCTCTATTGCCAGTGTAGATATTGTGAACTTACGTAATCACATTTCGTGGATCTTAATATCTTGGGTACTTCACATGGCATTAAATATGTTGAATTTGGTCAGGTGATGAAGTGAAGATGAAATCTGAATTGTTTGAACATTTTAAGAAATCAGATAAGGTGGCCATTAATTATACAAATCACTTGTGATTTTCATTTCGGTTTAGATAATATGGTTGGAATACTTGTAGTATTTCTGTTTTCCTATCTTTCAGAGTCAGAGATAGTAACAGGTTTGTGATATTATACGGTCTGTATGGAAAATGAACGATGCTCAGCAGACATGACATTATTAGATATATTCTGAGTTTATGCCACACAGAACCGAGGATCTCTCTCACAAGAAGTCTCATCCAATCATACAGGACCTTCCTCTTGAGGTCCAGACAGTGTTATTGGCAGTACCGCCGTGCCTGCATCACAGCACAGAACTATTCAATTTACAGACACTACAACTGCGTCTAATTTAGGAAAACAATTTCTGAAAATTGGAAAGTATCTGTTCTTTACCTTTCCTAGTATTATCAACGTGAAACAGTTGTTTGTTTATCAGTTTCAGAAGTTACATAACCTCATATGTTGTCGAAAGAATATCTCACATCCTTGAAACTATTGGTGATGAGAAACTGTGTGTGTACTATAGATGATAAAGAAATTCACAATTAGGTGTAAAAATATAAATGTACATCTTGCGAGATTTGATTATTGAAACATTGTCCTCCTTGTACTTTGGTCCTTGAGAAGAAAGTAAAAACTAAAACCTAAATATGCCAAGGACAAACTTCTTCTCCTTCTTGTGGGCAGCTTGCAAGGCTGGTACTTCAGCTCCATCTCAAGTCTACATTATTTCATAGAATGTTAAGCTGTAATGTCTGATGTCTGACTCTAATGATATTGCCAATGACATATGTCATCAATCATATGCTTAAGACAACATTAAGAATGTCTACAACAGGAAATGAAGTTCTCTAGGGCATCAGAAATGATCCATTATAGTCTTCTGTGAGGCGGATACTTCATCAGATTGACAGCAGGTGCCTGTTTGATTGGGACAGATCAAAGTTTTATTCCCAATTAAGCCAGGGTGGATATTTTGGACTTTGAATTATTTGTATTTAACTGCCAGTGGCAAGGTTTTGATCAGATGGCATGGTTTAGTTGTGCCTAAAGGTACACTGAGAATACTTTGTGGCAATGTTTATCATATGAAGCCACAAATAAACTTGACAATAACTGGGAAAATGATAAACTTGCGTTCCCACGTGGTCTTAGCCCACCGATTGACTTACAAAATATATTTGGGTATACAATAGGAGTGTTGAATAAGGGTTGTTACAAATTGCTTTAAGAAGAACAGATCAAACTTTCATCAAAACCATGCTTGTTACAGTGCTTGTTAGTTCACTTGGTTGAAATGACAGTCACTAGTTTTGATGTTTACTGAAAATCACTTTTTGGGACGATATCGTTCAAAGCCACACAGAAACATCTTTTGTGGTTGCCTTTGGCATACTTGAAAGAAAACAGACTTCTTGTATATTATATATTGGCACATATAAGTAAATATGTCAGACTTATATTTTCCTCCTCATCATGATTAGAAACATTTTCCAGACAATATGTGTGATGTTATAGTTGACTTTGAAAAATTAATGTTATATTATTGTATTTCAACTATATAGTATTCAGCTTGATTGTTTTCAACAAGTAATATATGTTCTACTATTTCATGTGTTCCCATGGCAACTTAAGGTACACTTTTAGAACCTTATTTGTATCTTCATGACTCAAAACAAGACAAGTTAGTACAAAGTAATACTTGATTCCATCATGGTCTGCGTGAAGATGGTAGAAGATTTAGGATAGCAGCAAGTTCCTAAAGAGATTGTTCAGCCCTAGGACACTATAACTGAGATGAGGCAGACATTCTTACTGTTCATGGCTAGTGTTCAGGTGCTTTAGGTAAATGCTCTTTGATCACACAGAACAATATGTTGCTGGTGCTGCTGATGAATTGGTAATTTGGTTTATCCTGTTTCATCAAGTGGCCGACTAATGCTTAGTCAAGTGATTTGCGAAAGGTCATCTGTCTTGGAGGCTTCTTGGTATCAAATTATGTCAGGAAAAATTATTCTTCAGAATAAAGGTCAATCCACAGACATTAACAAATTTCTGATCGAGTCATTGCAGTGTGTTCTAGTTATACCACTGTAAACATGGTGTATTTTTCAAATTTCCAAGATTGTCAACAACTGTAGACACTGAATGAGGGAGGGAAATTTATTTAACCTGGCATGGTCTAGTCAGAAGTGAATCTTAGTTCACAGGGATGAGCTGACTGAGTTCGGTCTTGGAGCAATCAAACCATTAGTGTTGTTTCTGCCTCCAGTAACAAGGTCACTATTGATGGACAACTTTGTAGATCCAATGAACAGATCTACATATGTATATAATTCAAGTTTTGTTATAATAAAAAAAGTTTAGGTAGACTAGTAGTGGATAGAGCATTTGATTATCATGCTGAACAATTCCTGGAGGCCTGGGTTTGATTTGTCCTATGGGTGTAATATGAATAGCCAGTTCTGATGTTCACTACACTTGTATTGCAGGAATACCTTTTAACGCAGTGGGAGCGGTGCAGTAGCCCAGTGGTTAAAGCTTTCGCTCGTCACGCCCCAAACCCGGGTTCGATTCCCCACATGTGTACAATATGTGAAGCCCATTTCTAGTGTCTCCCTCTGTGATATTGCTGGAATATTGCTAAAAGCGACGTAAAACTAAACTCACTCACTCACTCACTCACTCTTAAAGCAGTGTAAAGCAATTTGTTCACTCACTATTTTTTAAGGTGTGTAACTAATTGATTCAGACAACTGTTAACTTTCTCCTGATTAGTAAATGTTTTAGCTCGCTCTGTGAGTGAAACAGGCCTGTTCATAAACTGAGTAATACTCGTCCCATTCAGCGGCTATCATGTAACTGTTTACTTAAAACATATATTGGGGTAGATGTGATTAGTCTACTTGCTGCTTCTTAATACCCGGCAAAAGGTACTGGAGATTTTGGAATAGATTTAGACACAAATAAAATATGTTTGTCATCCAAAGTGACTTCTTGGAATGGGTGGTTAGGCTTGATGACTTGGTTGGTCTCATCTCAAGGGTTTGTCCATTTCCTGGGCCTTAATGCATAGGTTTGCTGAAGACAAATTCTAACCCAGTTCTTCACTGGTGGAACTTTATTGTAAGAGGAACTCACTTGTTATGTTTCTGTCTATTTGTTTCCAACTCAGCCATGTCACAGGCTTGATGTCATTCTTGTGGCAGGTCTTTCTTGTGGCAAGACTTTCTTATTGCAGGTCTTTCTTGTGACAGGTCTTTCTTGTGGCAGGACTTTCTTATGGCAGGTCTTTCTTGTGGCAGGTCTTTCTTGTGGTAGGACTTCCTTATGGCAGGTATTTATTGTGTCAAGACTTCCTTATGGCAGGTCTTTCTTGTGGCAGGACTTTCTTATGGCATGTCTTTCTTGTGGCAGGACTTTCTTATGGCTGGTATTTCTTGTGGCAAGACTTTCTTATTGCAGGTCTTTCTTGTGGCAGGTCATTCTTGTGGCAGGACTTTCTTATGGCAGGTCTTTCTTATGGCAGGTCTTTCTTGTGGTAGGACTTCCTTATGGCAGGTATTTATTGTGTCAAGACTTCCTTATGGCAGGTCTTTCTTGTGGCAGGACTTTCTTATGGCATGTCTTTCTTGTGTCACGACTTCCTTATGGCAGGTCTTTTTTGTGGCAGGACTTTCACTGAATTCATAAACATCAAAGAACTGCATCACCTTTGGCTTTCAATCATCCTGCTGACATGTTGTGATATGTTGTACAGCTTGAACGTTATTCAAGGCAGCATTAAACTTATTGGCAATTATTAAAAAAGTAAACACAGTCATGATTCAGTGTGGCCAGCTGACCCCCAGTTTGCTTGCTATGATGAAGAAGGCAACCTGTCCAAGACTGCTATTGACATCGACCATCCTTCCTTAAACTCTACATGTCATTTTCATCTTGTTATATTGTTTCCAATGTTCCATCTTCATATTTTGTTTCATGTGATATTTGGGTTTCAGGGTGGACGGATACAGGCTGGCGTACGGCTACTTTCCTGGCATTGGTATTGACATCAAGTGTAACGAAACAGGCGGGAAACATGAATTTGCACAACTCTGTCGTGAGCTGCTGAGAAAAGTTGCCACAGATAGACCCCTTCATGCATTATATGTAAGTATTTTATCTTAGAGACATTGCCAGTGATACACCCCTTCATGCATTATATGTAAGTATTTCATCTTAGAGACATTGCCAGTGGTACACCCCTTCATGCATTATATGTAAGTATTTCATCTTAGAGACATTGCCAGTGATACACTCCTTCATGCATTATATGTAAGTATTTCATCTTAGAGACATTGCCAGTGATAGACCCCTTCATGCATTATATGTAAGTATTTCATCTTAGAGACATTGCCAGTGATACACCCCTTCATGCATTATATGTAAGTATTTCATCTTAGAGACATTGCCAGTGATGCACTCCTTCATGCATTATATGTAAGTATTTCATCTTAGAGACATTGCCAGTGATGCACTCCTTCATGCATTATATGTAAGTATTTCATCTTAGAGACATTGCCAGTGATGCACTCCTTCATGCATTATATGTAAGTGTTTCATCTTAGAGACATTGCCAGCGATATTTCAAAGCATGCATATTTTTCCTTATCCTGACTCATGCTCTTTTGCTTGTCTTCTTCTTCTTGCGAACATAGTGGAACACTTGTATCTCCTTATTTGAAGCTCCCTTCAAAATAAAATCACTAATTGGTACTCACCACGAGTTGCTCCCCTTTGTCTCCCCTGGCGGGAAAAGGTGTCGCCACCCTCTGGCCATGTGCTCCACTCTCTCCTTCTTCGCCCAGTGAGCAGGATGTGAGAGCGCCTTGTGTCTCCTTACACACATATCCTTTGATAATCTCTTAGTTTTTACCTCTCATAGGTTACTATAGAGGTATAGCTAGTATCCTTTACTATTTGTATTGATTAATTATCGTATATTTCTACTGTTTATTCCGTGTATTCGTGATTGTTCAGCTAACTTTTACGTTCATGAAAATCTGTGCGATTTGTAGATTACGTTTTTCTGCCTCCGATCCACATGTAATATGCCCTAGTTGTTCTACGCCGTGTCTGCGTTTAATTCCGTTGCAGTTACTGCATTAATTTATCTCATTCTGCATTTAATAAATATCATCTTTCGCGTCTTAAGGCGTGCTGCAGATAGATCCATAAAACAAGGGGCAAAACATGGCAGAGAGTCAGATATTCCTTCCAGTCAGCTGCTAGCGATCGACCCTCTCCGTCTGGTGTTCTGCTAGAGACCCCTGCGGCAGAGGGCGTGGGGCGCCATCCGTTACCTCGAAGAAAAAGCGACCGGCCTCCCCAGACATCCCGTCATTGCAGACTAAGTCTAAGAGGGCCTCATCGTCGATCTCAGCGCGCGCCAGATTGAGGACACCCAGGGCAGCGCCAGACTTCCAAAGGGAAATCTCACGAAGACAGCAAGAACTTTCTCAGCGAGATCGTTCCAGCAGCAGAGTTGGGCCTCTCGATGATCAGCCGATAATCATCCCGACTTCACGGCAGAAGAAGCGACCGGTGTCAGCGACTGTGACTTCTGCAGAGATCTCCATGCAGCCTGATGCCTCTACACCCGGCGTCAGGCGTCATTGATGTGAACCCCATGTCGCAGAAAAGGCGCCCGGCGACTTAATCTAGATCATCCCAGAAGACATGATCGCGGCAGATTATGAACATCATGGAGGACCACTACAAACTGCGCCAAAGCAGTCCGAACCGCCGCGAGGCTCCAACGTGAACAACACCCCAGAGGCACCCCCGTCAAGCGTAGCAGCCAAGGCGATGTCACCTTCAGCGAAGGAAGTCCGCACCACCTTGGCGAAGGACCTAGATGTACAGCCTTCGCGAAGGCCTTGGCGGCGGAGATCATCACCATCTTCGATTTCATCTCTAGATATGGACTCAGACCATCAGACATCACGGAAGCCTTCCGGCGAAGGTCATATCATCGATCCCCGGACCGGACGCCAAATGAAGCTTCGCGAAGGCATTCGCGAAAGACATATGATTCCAGATCTTCATCGTCTAGAAGAACATCGAGGGACTGCGAAGAGCCCGGCGAAGCTATCAACATTCACCTCACAAGTCTCGAAGATCATCCCATAGAGCGATCTCCACTCCGTTCATCACCAGATTCGATCACCCATCAGATCTCCACATAGAAGCGGCGCAAAGTCAACTAGATGCATACAAACCTCATCAGATATTCAGACAGCTACCGCGCAGTCGAAGAGCATCTACAATTTATTAATGATGATGGTTTTGAGGATGATGGAGGAATCATATTTTCTGATGCAGAGAATACGGTATTGGATGGTCAATAACCTAGATCTCACATCACCATCTAAAAGTGGCAATACAGCTCAGGCGTGTTTGATGAAGGAAGATGATCCAGATGCAATCACTCTACCCCGATCGACCCGATTGCGACAGTGCCACAGAATCTAGATGCAGCTTTCCGAAAGCTCACGAAAGTTCAGATACCACATCTACCCAACTTTCAAGCCAAGAAGTTCTCCACGCATAACATGGACTCCTTCTACAAGGCCCAGGACATCGATGAGAACTATAAGATCATCAGCGATGTAAAGAACAAGATTTACAAGATGGATGATGTAAGTTGGCTCATATAGAAACCATAATGAGGCGTATGTTCTTTGGGTTAAATAGATCTAGGGCGATCAATGAGACTCTGATTACTAGATTCGGGATTCCACGGCGGAAGATGATAGAATGATTTATTCTGCCTTACTTATGCAAAAGAAAGATCAGCAGTTTTAGCGGATCATCTTACATCTGTTTCAGCAGCACTGACCTTAGCTCGTCGTCAAGGCCTCCTCGCCTCCTGTAATTGGGGAGAACTTTACAGCCCACTTTATACAGCCCGTGGTGCGACAACATCCATCTTTGGCGGAGAAATGCGACAAAGATGCAGCCAAGGAAGTCTCTAAGGATTCCAGGGAAGTCCTTATGATTAGATCGATGGACACACTAGCCAGCGTCATTAGTCAGACTTCACAAAGATACTCAGGCAGATCTAAGTTCACGGGTCTACAAAGAGCAAGAGACAGGAAGATAGCCAGCTCTAGAGGTAAAGATTCTTTTAGTTAGCCCATATGGCAACTATAGAGGAGGATCAGGAAGAGGCAGGACACCCAGAGGTTCCGCGCAATTATAGGCAGCTGAAACACAGGTTGAACGACTGGAGTCTTCCACCCCAGCCGTTCCAGTACAACCAGCTCAAGTGGGTGGGCGCCTCCAACTACACTGGGAAAACTGGGGAATACTGCAAGATCCTTCGTCTCCAACATTATTCAACAGTTTACAGGTATCCCTCTACAGGACAAGCCTCCGCTGACAATCAAACCCCCAAGTTCGATTACAAAGCGCAGCAACTACCAAAGATAAAGAGGCTGTCTCATCACTCCTATCCAAACAGGCCATAGAAGTAATAGATCAAGCAAGCGTCGAACCAGGTTTCTACTCCCCAGTTTTCCTAGTTCCCAAGAAAAACTCCACGGAGAAATACAGACTCATCTACAACATGAGCTTTTTCAGCAAGAACTATCTCACGCAAAACCACGAAGTTTAGCATGATACATTTACCTCAGTTAAGCCAGATGATTAGTCCTATGGACTACATGGGCAGCATAGATCTACAGGATGCCTACTTGCATCCCCATTCATCCCGATTCCAGGAAATACCTCACGATTTACTCTAGAAGGGCTACATTACCAGTGGAAAGTACTCCCATTGAATATCATCAGCCCCTGGCTATTCCACGAGGATAACGAAACCGATTATCAAATTTCTACATCGTCAAGGGCTACGCGCAGTGCGTTTTACCTCGACGGCGGGATACAAGTAGATCAAGATCCACTCGTCTCAAACTACAGTTAAACTACATCATAAAGCTACTAACACAACTAGGTTGGTTAGTAAACTTACGCAAGTCGGACCTAGTACCATCGCCAAGACCTACAGTTCCTAGGTATTGATTCATCACAAATCGCAACCGTATTATGGTACCAGAAGACCGTTGGCTCAAGATACAACAGACCATTCCACCAGCTCTACTCTCTCCGTTACCACTCGACAATGGCAGAGCCTACTAGGTCTTCTCACATCAGCCCAAGACATGACTGTCACAGGCAGATTACAGTTCGTCCCCTACAGGTCCTCATCAGCACATCTCAGCGATGTACAACCATTCAGTCTACCGAAACATCTCAGACCACATCTACTATGGTGGACCAAGAAATCGAATGTCTGCGAAGGGATTTGTTTAGCAGAGCAGAATACAAAACCCATCTGTATGTAGGCAGCGTCACTCCAAGGTTGGGGGCTCATCTCACCAACCACCGCGATATCAGGGTTATGGAATCAGCAAGAATGCAAACTCCATATAAACAGTCTAGAAATGAAAGCTGTAATCAGCGCCATTCTACATTGGAGCACATTTCTACAAAATCTTGCCCTAATGATCCATACAGACAATTCGACAGTGGCGTTCTACATAAACAAGCAAGGCTCAGCGAGATCGATGAACCTTTTTGAACCTAAGCTTTCAACTGTTAGATTTAATACAAGATCTAAATCTACATGTCAAAGCAGTGCACATTCGAACCAGAAATATACTAGCAGGCGGCTCTCTCGGCCTCATCTACCATCACCGACAGAGTGGATGATCAACCGGAAATTTTGCACAGATAATCAAGCAATTAGGAGCGCCGCTAATAGACCTATTAAGCCCGCAGCGATTCAACAATCAGCTACCGACATTACGTGTCACCAGTCCCAGACCCCCAAGCTTGGGCAGCGGACTCTAAGTCTATCATGGGAAGGCCTCAATGCGTGCAGCGTTTCCGCCGCCAGCAATAATACCTCAAGTATTACAGAAAATCAGACAAACACAGAGCCTACAACTCACTTTGGTGGCCCCTACTGGCCGGCCAGAGCGTGGTTTCCCATACTAATTCAAAAATCGGTCAACCAACACTGGAGCTACCCAAAGCGGCGCCAAACCTGTTAATTCATCCTCACACCAAACAAGTGCGGAAGCCAGCAATGTTCCAACTACGCG